TTAGTTTACTAATCAAAATAAAAGAGCAAAATAAAGGAAAGGAGAAGAAAGAGAGTGCATGGCAAGGAAACTAAATTGCAGAGTGGAAGCGTAATGTCGCCACAAAAGCATGAAAACGCAAAGAATGAAATAAAAGATGAAGTATACAACAAAACTTAAAAGAAGCTAGAAAGATGAATTCGAAGCAAATTGCAGTAAATTGAATTGTAAAAAACTAAATACATCAAGTGTTGATGTTCACAACGAAATAACAAAAACTAGAGTTAAAACTAATGGTAGCGTAAAGTGAAAAATTTAATTAGGAAAGCTGTTTAAGAAAGTTGAATCTAAATTAAGACATTGCTTATAAAACTAAAAGGTAAATAGCATTGACCTAGTTGTATGAGAGGCTGGTTCTTTTGCTTCATTTTTTTTCTGCATATTTATAGCAATAAACATCCCTTGACAGCATACTTGAAAATCTGCGACAACATCTTAAAAAACTAACAGCAGCGTGATATCTAAAACAAATCGATTAACTATTGATGTTGTCGATCATCCTCTTGAAAGTTCGCAATCAGCGAATGATTTTAATATCGTTGTGAAAATAACTACTAAACATTATCTAAAAAAATTTATATTGATAAAATACATGTTAATATGGATAACGTGTAGCACCATTTTATTTTTTTTTTACAGGAAAAGAGTGTAAACATCTTTTATTATTAAAAAAAAAAAAAAAAGTCCAGGGTGACCATTAATAGTGGTAGTGGTAATAGTACAGTACAGGTACATATAATAATAATTACTGGGGGATCAGCTTTTTTTGGTCCCACCACATAAATAAAATGTTAATTTAAGAACAAATAAAGGACCACTAACATTAACCCACGTAGTAGAATACGGTTGCTCCCATCCATTAATCTTCAGGGGTCACCATTCACGTCCTAAAATTTTTGTTTTTTGTTTTTTTTGTTTTTTCTGTAAACCTAGTACAAGTACAGCTTGAGGACGGGTTAATGGAATTATCAAGAATTAAACAAAGTTTTAATGCCATTACATCTTTTAGGTGTATGTTTAATTTAAGAGAAACTCTAGAGAGAGGAGAAAAATTTTTTTGTTTAACCAAATTAAAATTTTAATTTAATTAAATAATTCTTTTCCTCTAAAACCACATCGTATCATGAAAGAATGGAAATATACATAAAACTATAAAAGAAAAAAAAAGTTAGAGAAGTTAGTTAAATTAATAAAAAAAATTCGATTGAAGGCCATTAAAAAAAAAAGCAAAAAACTATATTATCTAATAATTAATTTTTTTAATTTTTATAAAATTTACAATATTAAATACATCCACTCATTTAATGATATGTGAAAGTTGTATATAAAAAAAAAAACAAAAATGCTATCCCTATAACATTATCTTTAAAATTATACAACTTCATCACCGACGTGG